GACGATCATCTGTTGAATAATAAGACTAAAAATGACGATCATCAAACACCATTACCTCCAAGTCATGTATATTGTCCGCCTCAACATATGACAAAATTGGATTTGCCTGACGATGAGAGATTCTAATATATGTTTTACAAACCGTATATGCGGTCAGCGGGTGAATTAAAAGTGGGAGGAAAGTTTTGAACCAAGGAAGAATGTGTGCGAGCTATTAAAAAATATCACATGGATAACGTTGTTAATTTCAATGTACATCGATGTAATTTGAGAAGGTATGCCATTCATTTTTATAACGATCTTTACAAGTTTCGGCTGGCTGCGTCTCACTAGAAGATAAGTGATTCTTGGAAGATAGCTTCTATAGAGCCACCTCACAGTTGCACTGCCACTAATATTGTATAGGATCACTAAAAATTAAACGTTGAATTGATATGTCAAGACATTTTGTCGCTTGTTAACAATGACCCATAAGTGAAGGTGAGTATAATAATCTATCATACCGTTACATGATATAATTATACTCCCTTGTACAAGAAAGTGTGGATTGCAAGGACAAGGGTAGTTGAACAAACATTCAACAACTGGGAGGATTCATACAAAGAATTGCCACGATTTTTGGTGGCACTTAAAACATACGCATCGGGGACTGTTGTAATTATGCAGACATTGTCGACATTTATGCTAGACGGAACTTGTGTTGGTGGAAATAAAATATTTCATCGACTCTTTTGGGTGTTTCAACCATGCATCAGAGGTTTTGCATTTAGCAAATCTATTATTCAAATTGATGGAACATGGTTATATGAAAAATATAAGGGCACCTTGCTTATGGAAGTTGCGCAAGATGACTATAATAATATATTTCCCATTGCCTTTGCTCTGGTTGAAGGTGAGATCGTTGGTGGTTGGAGTTTCTTCCTTAGGAATCTTAGAACCCATGTGGCTCCACAAGCCAATCTCTGTTTGATTTAAGACATACATGCTGCTATTAAGAGTGCTCACAATAACCATGATAACATATGGTATAATCCTCCTTCTACCTATGTCTATTGCATTAGACATATGCCACAAACCTTCATGCGTGCAATCAAAAACAAGAACCTTCACAAAAAAGTGGTGAATGCAAGGTATGCTCTAACTCAACCATGGTTTCAATACTACCGTGACAAAATTATATTGTCAAATGCAGATGCATGAAGGTAGCTGGATAACATTTAATTGAAGAAGTGGACAAGGGCATTTGACGGAGGATGTCGATGGGGCCACATGACACAAACCTTGTGGAATCCATGAACGACGCCTTCAAAGGCATTAAAAATCTACCCATAACCACATTAGTGAGATCAACCTATTTTAGATTGGCATCACTCTTCGCAACCAGAGGTGAAAGATGGAATGCAGTGTCAATGTCGGGTCAATTATTCACTAAATGCTGCATGAAAATGATGAAAGAGGAAACTATCAAAGCTAACACACACGCGTTTACAGTCTTTGATTGTCATAGGCAAACTTTCAGTGTACAAGAAATAATTAACCATAATAAGGGGAGACCAAATTTATCTTATGCTATCAAACTAAACAGATGTTGGTGCGACTGTGGCAAGTACCAGGCCTTCTGTGTATCTTGCTCCCATGTCATTACAGCATGCGCACATACTCACCGTGATGCTTACAACCATCTATCCAATGTTTACAAGGAAATTAACGTCATGGATGTCTACAACAAAAGCTCCGCATTGTTAGTAATGGAGGAATATTGACCCCCATATCAAAGGGACATAATTTGGCACAACAATGAGATGCGAAGAAAAAAAAAGATCGCCTAAACAGTACCCGTATTAGAACAAAAATGGATACGACTGATAAAATGATAAGATTATGTAATATATGTCGCCAGCCCGGATACAATCGAAAAAATTGTCCTAATGTCGGAGCAACTTCTGCATCATAATTTAGTTTCTCCTTTCAATGTTTGTAACCTTAGATTTTGATATATTAATAACTTTTTGTTACAACAATGTTAATAACAAACATCACCCCGACTTAAAAACAATAACACTTTCCAACAAAAAAACCAGATATCACAAAAAGAACAACAATATTTAAACACAATATTTCTAACTAATTACAAAAATCAAACTTATATCATTTGGTCCAAACATCATTTCCCTCGAATCCTTATCATTTTTAACTCGCACCCACCCATGTAAGACATTGTGTCTCTCAATACTTCTAATTTTTCCCTTCAGGTATGTCTAACCAACAATTCAACTTCCTTTATAGTTGCTCGAAACTACAGATGTTCTAGAAGAGCATCTCTCGAATAAATCACTTTCCCTTTGTAGCGATGAACCATGTTAGCAATATTGCAAGATAACAAGAATAGATGTGAAAACAATGGATCACACCACCTCTATTTATACTAAAAATAACACAACACACTGTCACCAATTGAATGGCAACCCCATATGGTGTCTCCAATCCAATTGACATCTCTACTTAATTTTTAAGTGTAGTCGCCAATTGGTTTGACACCAATGTTCAAATATATATATATATATATATATATATATATATATATATATATATATATATATATATATATATATATATATATATATATATATATATATATATATATATATATATATTGGAAAATGAGGTATTTGGAAATTTTTTTTAAAACGTAAATTATTTTAAAATATTAGATTATTTGAGTAAAAAATTTCAACTTCGATTTATAATAAAAAAGAAAATCATATTTTTAAACAACTTTAACACTAATACTAACTTTGATATGCAATAATACTTGAACTTTGATATGCAAAAGTAATGTTCACTATTTCATAAACAATTTATTTTTGACAAAAGATAAAAAATTTAAAATAGAATTATACTAACGGGTGTCTGAATATTGGTTAAGAATTTTAAATATAAAAAATATTATATATTTTGAATATATATAATATTCTTTAAAAAATTAATTATTTCTATTTTTAATTCATTAAATATACATATATTTTTAATTTTTTAAATGATATTAATTTTTTTTAATCCATTAACGGATATAAAGTAATAGTATTACTTTTATAAAGTAACTTATTATCCATTTTATTTTTAAAAAAGAAAACTAATTATTCATCTTCTTTAACCGCAAAAGGTGATAGAATCCCTAAAGAGATAAAGATGTTTTTCCCCCACCAAATTATTGGTATTTAATTACAATATATCCTGCACATGATGCAATTTGCTTAATGTTTGAGTATTATTGAGTAATAGGTTTTAAATAAAATATATTAAGATATTACGTAGTGGAGAGAATCAATAAGAAAAAGTAATGTAATTAATTTGATCACAGACTCTAAAAGACATTCATTCCTTCTCAATATTCGTTACACAAAGAGAGTTAAGTAAAACTAATTAAGAAAATTTGGCTGATTAGTGGTTTTAATGTATATGCTGTTAATATTAATATTCTCCTCTATCCTTTGAGATGTACACAAGAGGGTGTATTAAACCAAAAAAAGTAGCTTTTACAAAAGATGTAACTTTAAGAAACAATATTAATAGAGTTTAATGGGATACACAATATGGTGTAAATTAATTTTACACTATATGGATTTTGTGAATATATTTTTAAAAAACTAAAAAATATGAAATTTTGATAAAACATTATTGTAGAACTAATTTATTCTTAACACATCCATAATTCTCCCATATTAATATTCAATGTGGTTTTTAAGGAGTTTGATATAACACAAGAGATTTGATCTTTACAACTATTAATAATATTGCACATACAGTTAAAAGAACTGATGACAAATATCAAAGTATTTGAATAAGAGGTAGGGATTTTATAATAACATATATTTTAAAAACAAATGCTAAATATTATTAAATTAAAAAATTTTACATTCAAAAAATTAATTTTTTAATAAGTAGAGTAAATGACTATGCTAATGTATATTTTTTTAAATATATCTACGAAATATTAATAACTATTACAAATTCACATACAATCTATTAGAAATTATAATATATCAAATTTTGAACTAAAGACTTCATGAAAAATATAAAAAATATAAAACACTCGATCAATTTAAGACAAGTCAGTATTAACGTTTAATTTAAAAATATCGATATAATATTTTTTTAAAATATTTAAAAATATATTTAATACACAAATTATTATTTTCCATAATTTTTTTAAATAATAATTTTTAATACTCTACTTTTTAAAAATATATTTAATACACAAATGATTATTTTTCAAATTAAAGATAATTTATGATAAAAAATAGTAATATATTCCAAAAAAAAAAAAGAAAGACTAAAATTTAAATAAAAGCAGCGTTACAGACGGAAAAAAGCGAAAGCGAACAGATGAAATGAACTGGCACGACAAAAAAGCGTCTCCTAATTCCAAACAACAAAAACAATCAAGTCGCCATTTTTTAATCATTTCATTTCTATTATCAATAAATGAATATTGTTAGTTAATTATAGTTATCTAACTATTTTTAACAGCATAAATTACGCACGTGTCACTCCAACGACTCTCAAAAGGACCTAAACGTAATTTCGTCAAACATCTTCCAGCTGTTCACACTTTTACCAATATAGCATTATATCGTTGAATGGAAATTTACTAAAGCACCCTTCCTCCATTTTCCAGCTCTGCTGTGCTGTGCTTTCTATCATAGTTTCACAGCACACGCTCGCTCACACTTTCTAATTATTTTCTTTCAAACAGAAAATTTTCAATTTTCAATTTTCTTAGAATTTGAGAAGAAAAAAAAGAGAGAGAAATTTTAAGTTGGAGAATCAAAGAAAGGGTTTGTGTTGACCGAGTCAACCCACGCGCCGCCACCTTTTCAACGCAACCACTGCGGTGGAGTTTGTTACGATGTCGTTTTACGAAGAGATGAAGTAGTTGCCGGTGGGATCTGATTCAGTTGAGAAAGTTTTTGTGATTTCGCTGCTGACTAGGATCGGATATGATGGTATCGAGGGGGCTTTTCGGGTGGTCTCCACCTCATGTGCAGCCTTTAACGCCGGTATCTGAGGTTTCTGAGCCGCCGGAGTCGCCGTCTCCGTATATGGACATCGGAGGAGAGACTTCCGCGTCGCAGCAAATGGAGGCGGAGGAGGAGATGGAAGAGATGGAGGATATTGAGCCTCCGCCTGCTGCCGTTCCTTTCTCTGGCCTCTTTGCTTGTGCTGATAAGTTCGACTGGTTTCTTATGGTGGTTGGCTCCATCGCCGCGGCGGCTCACGGCACTGCGCTTGTTGTTTACTTGCACTACTTTGCTAAAGTTATTCAGGTTCCTCAGCAGGAGGATCAGTTTCATAGGTTCAAGGAGGTTAGGTTTCGTTTCATTTTCTAACTATAAGCTTAGTTTTTTCTTTCTAGCTTTTAATTAGTTTGTGAAACGAAACTTATCTATACTGTTCTCTATTAGTTTTGTAGCTTTATGACCTTGGTTGCATTGCTGTGTAGCTTGATGTAGTTGAACTGAAACTTTTTCATGAAAACTAGCTTGACTATACGATATGTAATAAATATACTTAGTTTATTGATTTAGTCATCAATACGTTTGTTCCTTGACTAATTGGATTGTGATACTGGAAATTGTTTTGTTGTTCTTCTAGCGTTAGTTAAATGTTAAAAAATGGAGAATCAGGGGTTAGGGTTGAGGGTGTGAATGCATGGAGCGAAGCCCCATTTATACAAGAATTTGCCCTTTTATCATACCTGGCTTTTCTGTGCGGGTGATTAAAGCTTGGTTTGTCCGCCCGATGATGACTGATGAGATTGGGGCCGGAGCAAGTCCTTTATTGGTCTGGTGTGAGGTGTGCAACTCTTGCGTGTCATCTCATGACCACGCCTTTTCTCTAGCCTCTATCATACTGTAGCTTATGGCAGGTTATTAGCATTGGGAACAGTGAGGTTTAGTGTTACCTGGAGCGATTGAGGTTTAGTTTTTCTCTAGCTTCTCTCACTAGATAATTGTATGTTTGAGCAATGAATGTGATCACTCAAGGACCGTTGGATCAATCAGAGTATTACAATCATTATTGTATTACTAGTATGCCTCCAATATTGGGAAATATATCAAATTAAGTTTCTATACTAGCTAAATAACAAGCCAAGCATTAATTCAACCTAGTACTGTAAGAGGAGTGCTAAATATTAAAAGCATTTTTCTCGTGAACTTCACGAAGGGTTGACGTGCGTATGTGAATTAAAAGAGCATCATATAGTTATCTCCTATTTTGGTGGAAATCAGAGAGGGGTAAAATTGAAATAATCCAATCATATTTGTTGGCTGCCCACCATGATTCAACATTTCGTAATAATAATCATTTCCTATACCGCATACAAAAATGACCAAAATAGACCTTGGACTTGGATAGAAAAGTCCATAATTATGAGTAGTGTTGTTGATGGCGGAGAGCCAAAATCCCGCCATACCTTCTGCTTTGCGGCACCGTTATAACGGATTATGGCAGAAAAACCCGCAATATCGGCCGATATTTACCATTGCGGCGAGCCCAAAAACCGCCATGTATATCCGCCATAGTAACCATGGCGCCGCAATTTGATAACATCGATTATGAGTTTATGACCAAATATAACCTTGAAATATTACAATCACTATCGTATCTCTAGTAAACCCTAATATTGGATTGCAACAAACCTTATTTTCAAGCAGACTTTTTTGATGCTTTTCTCAATGGATGAGATCAAACTCGGAACATTGGATTAATCAGGGTATTACAATCATTCTCGTATCACTAGTAAGCCTTAATATCATTACGCTAGTACTCAACATTTTAGAAATAGATAGAACTCAGCTGTTGTCTGCAACTGCACAGACAACAATTATGTTGAAGGAAAATAGCGACATTATTTAACACATTACGGTTATGTTTTAAAACCTGGTTCATGGTTCAACTGGTTAATTTAGTACTCAAACCGGACGACATTACAACTACAGGTTTAATATATTCTGTAGGATATCCAATTCAAAAAGATTATTCTGTAGGCCCCATTGTTTGTGTGACTGATGTAAAAAGTTGACTTATACTCACCCTTGCTGTTGTTTCTTTTGCAGCTTGCTTTGACCATTGTTTATATTGCTGGTGGTGTTTTTGTTGCTGGTTGGATTGGTAAGTTAATCATGAAGAATGAGTCTTTATTAGATGTTGAGTCTAAGTTTCCTGCAGTACTGATTTTTCTATCTTGTTTAATAGAGGTTTCATGCTGGATTCTTACCGGAGAACGACAGACAGCAGTTATCAGATCAAAATATGTTAGAGTATTACTTAACCAAGATATGAGTTTCTTTGATACTTATGGGAATAATGGAGACATTGTGAGTCAAGTATTGAGTGATGTCCTGCTCATTCAGTCTGCTCTCAGTGAAAAAGTATGTTTTACTCTCTGCAAATTTATTATTTGTGGTTAATATCTCAACACATGCATCTCAGACAATATGTTTTTGACTTTAATGATACAGGTCGGGAATTATATTCATAATATGGCTACATTCTTCAGTGGTCTTGTTATTGCTTTTATCAATTGTTGGCAGATTGCATTGATAACATTAGCTACAGGTCCATTTATTGTTGCTGCAGGAGGAATATCAAATATATTCCTTCACAGGCTTGCAGAGAACATCCAAGATGCATATGCAGAAGCAGCCAGCATTGCTGAACAGGTTATTTATTGCTTGATTTTTTAATTTATTATTGCATTGAACCAATGATATACTCGATATACATTCTATATATCATTCCAATGGTGGGTATTGATTGATTTGATTTTAATATGAACTGAAAGAAAAAATTAAAATCTGCTTGAAAGTCTTCGGTATCATGTATGTGGTTTTGTGCCGATTTATTAACCCTAGATAGCGGAGTGGAGCGGCTGACATAAAAAATGGGATAGCGGATGGCGGGATAACTTTTTGTACTAGTTATATGAATAATCTACCTATATGTTTGATGTAGATTAAATAACTTTTTGGACTAACTATATGAGTAATCTATATATATTAATCCCAGAATCAATAAATTTTAAAAGAAAGCGAAAAAGAAACAATGATATGAAAGAAAAAACAACCTGAAAACGAATAGAAAAACAATAAATAGATAAGAACAGGATAGATAACAAAATAGAAAAGCAGAAAACAGAAGTAGAGAAGAAGAAGAATAGAGAGAAGCTTGGAGCAGTTGAGGCAAGGAGGAGTTAGGGCAAGAGGAGCAGTGAGCGAAAAATGCGAGAAGCAGCCAACAGAAGAAACGCGATGGAGAAAGGTGAATACGCGAATGCGATAGGAGAAAACACGAACGACTATAATAAATTTTCCAATTTTAAAGTTTTTTAAGGGTAAAAAGGTCTTTTCGCATTCCAATAAAAGCCTTAAAAGCAGAAAACCACTCCGGGCCGGGAAGCGCTCCCGCAACCCGCAATCCCAGTATAGCACCTGGAGTGGCCCCGATTAATGACTGTGGCTCTGTGTTTTTTCTAATAATATTCATGCGTTATGGGTTGTTATATTTTTTGACTGGGCATCTAAAGTGAAGTCTTGAAAGAAGCTTTTGATTTAATAAGATTTTATCTTTTTTCTTCACCGCGTTATGGAAATTCATGATGATTTGTGAAATGAAATCCTCCAGGATTTCCGCTGGTTATTTTCTGCTTGTAATCATGGATTGAATAATGTTCTCCCGGCAGTCCTTTGTTAAGCACCTATAACTTGTTTATGGTGAAAGAAGGAGGTTTTTCTCTCCTTCTGTTTATAGCATAATTGGGAGGGTATAGGGTTACGGTAAGAAAAAGGGTATTGAAAAAGAGTGCTCTGATTAAGTTGCCACAAAGACATATTAAAACTATTAATATCTTTGGTTGATAGTTTTATTTGTCTAAATGCTTCACTGAATCCGTAGTTAGTTTATTATACACGGAATAGGTTTGAGGTTTACTCTGGTTGGACGAAATACATTTATTTAATTGTTAGGTTGTTTTACTGTGTTTTTCTTTGATGATTTGATTTTGGTGAAGTGGAAATAATGGCGGGTTCTCTTTATTTGATGAATTATTCAAGTACCTTTGGTTCTGACTGAATAATTTCTTGTCATGCAGGCAGTCTCCTATATACGGACCTTGTCTGCATTTACAAATGAAACATTGGCTAAATATTCATATGCAACGTCACTGCAAGCAACTCTTAGATATGGTATATTAATAAGTCTTGTCCAAGGGCTTGGACTTGGATTTACATACGGGCTTGCAATATGTTCTTGTGCATTACAACTCTGGGTTGGTAGGCTCTTGGTTATACATGGAAAAGCTCATGGTGGGGAAATTATAACAGCTCTGTTTGCTGTGATTCTAAGTGGCTTGTAAGCATCATTCCTAAATTCTATATTTTATTATTTGTTTATATTTTGCTTACCATTTCTGTTACTTGATTAAGGGGATTAAACCAAGCGGCCACAAATTTCTACTCATTTGATCAAGGGCGAATAGCTGCATATAGACTATACGAGATGATAAGCCGGTCATCGTCATCTTTTGATCATGATGGAAGTGCTCCTGTGGCTGTGCAAGGAAATATAGAGTTTCGGAATGTTTACTTCAGTTATCTTTCACGCCCTGAAATCCCTATCTTAAGTGGGTTTTATCTCACTGTTCCTGCTAAGAAAACTGTGGCACTTGTTGGCAGAAATGGATCTGGTAAAAGTAGTATTATTCCACTCATGGAGCGGTTCTATGATCCAACATTAGGTATTTGTTTTCCCTTCAGTGTATATTCATGCTATCTCATTCAAACCATTCTCTTTGTCATTTCAAATTTAAATTGATTTACCAATCTGTGGTTTCAGGAGAAGTTCTTTTAGATGGTGAAAACATCAAGAATTTGAAACTGGAATGGTTGAGGAGTCAAATAGGACTGGTAACACAGGAACCTGCTTTGCTCAGTTTGAGTATAAGAGACAACATTGCATATGGGAGGGATACCACGGCCGATCAAATTGAAGAGGCTGCTAAAATAGCTCACGCACATACTTTTATCAGTTCATTAGATAAAGGTTATGATACACAGGTGAAGCTGGATTGACCTGATCAAATGAAGCCTTTTTTTTTTAATTGTATTTTTTAATTATTTCTCCTGTCTTTCAGATTGGCAGGGCTGGTTTAACTTTGACAGAAGAACAGAAAATAAAGCTTTCTATTGCAAGAGCAGTGCTCCTAAATCCATCCATTCTCTTGCTTGATGAGGTTACTGGGGGACTTGATTTTGAGGCTGAGAGGTCTGTTCAGGAGGCTCTGGATCTCCTTATGCTGGGGCGCTCGACAATAATAATTGCTCGAAGGCTTAGTCTCATAAAGAACGCTGATTATATAGCAGTTATGGAGGAAGGTCAACTTGTTGAAATGGGTACTCATGATGAATTATTGACCCTGGGTGGCTTATATGCAGAGCTTCTTCGATGTGAAGAGGCCACAAAACTTCCAAAGAGGTCTGATACTGCTTGCATTCATGCTTCTTCCTTTGCTTTGCCTATTATTTCTGTTTATTGAAAATATAAATAGCTCTTCTAAAAAAGATATTGTGATAGTGGAAAGTGACATCTGCGATAAGGATGATTTAGTATAATTGTAAATAAATAATCATTATGCTATTTTTTGATCATTTGAATGCCAAAGAACTACAAATTTTAATATTGATCATGTTCTTAATAATCTGAGTTTTCAAAAGTGATACAGGAAATCAATTTGTATTTTTTTATTCTCATGCAGAATGCCTGCTCGCAACTACAAGAAGACTGCGGCTTTCCAAATTGAGAAAGATTCTTCAGAGAGTCATAGCTGCAAAGAACCATCATCCCCTAGAATGATGAAGTCACCCTCTCTTCAAAGAATTTCTACTGTATTTCGGCCTCCAGATGGCTTCTTTAACTTACAAGAATCACCACATGTGCAGAGCCCACCACCTGAGAAGATGATGGAAAATGGTCAGTCTCTGGATTCAACAGAGAAAGAACCATCAATTAAAAGGCAGGATAGCTTTGAAATGAGACTTCCCGAGTTACCCAAGATTGATGTCCACTCAGTGCATCGACAAACATCAAATGGTTCTGACCCTGAATCCCCTATTTCACCTCTTTTAACATCTGATCCTAAAAACGAACGCTCCCATTCACAAACATTTAGCAGACCAGATAGTTATTCTGATGAATTTTCAGTGAAAATGAATGAAACAAAGGATTCACGGCATCGACATCAACCCTCATTTTGGAGACTGGCAGAACTTAGTTTTGCTGAGTGGCTTTATGCTGTGTTAGGAAGCATAGGTGCTGCAATCTTTGGTGCGTTCAATCCCATTCTTGCTTATGTTATTGGCCTAGTGGTGACAACCTACTATAGAATTGATGGAACTCATCACTTACGGGGCGAGATTGACAAGTGGTGCCTGATCATTGCCTGCATGGGTATTGTGACAGTTGTTGCCAACTTTTTACAGCATTTCTACTTTGGTATAATGGGGGAGAAAATGACCGAAAGAGTCAGGAGAATGATGTTTTCAGGTGCGCATGTTTATTTTTTAGAATATCTAGTAATCACCCTTATATATTAAATTTTAATTTTGATTCTCATGAAGTCAGTCACACTGTCATTTCTCTTGTGGTCATGAGTCAATATCATGTTCTGACACATTGGACTTTCCATGAATCAAATCAAGTCGGTTCTTAGATGGTTTTGATTGATTTATTTGATTTAAGATTTCTAGGCAAACATTGAATATAATGGGGTCGTCGTAAATAAGTATTAAAATGTTCTAAAATAACTGTTATCAGTAAAGTTAAACTCTTCATTTATATTTTAATTTGATTTGTTATATTTGGCAAAATTGTCTAAGCATTGCACAAGATACTTGTTAGTCTTTTTTAGAGCAATTTGCACTTGTGAGTCTTGCCTAAATCTGTTTACATAACATGGCAGCCATGCTACGTAATGAAATTGGATGGTACGATGAAGAGGAAAACAGTGCCGACAATTTATCCATGCGTTTGGCCAATGATGCTACTTTTGTGAGAGCTGCTTTCAGTAACCGGCTTTCCATATTTATACAGGACATTGCCGCAGTTATTGTTGCTTTTCTCATTGGTGTTTCGCTGCACTGGAGAATAGCTCTCGTGGCTTTGGCAACACTTCCGATTCTCTGTGTTTCTGCTATTGCCCAGGTATGCATTTGCTCTTTTGGTTTTGCCATGTAATATTCTCTAATGTTTGGTTTGAACTTTTATCTTTTTTTTCATATCAGCTTAGTTTGTGGAAATTATGCTAGTCATTTTGAAATTCATTGTCGTTTATGGAAATTCTAATTTATGTTGATCTGTTTGTTGTTTACTTTCAATTACTAAAAACTATTGGACCTGTTGTGGTTATATATGTGTATGACTTAATGCCAGCTCAGCATACTGAATTTGTTAATTTGCTTTTATCATTTGCATCTAAGGCAGTTTCTTTGAACCTTGCAGAAATTATGGCTTGCTGGGTTTTCAAGGGGCATACAGGAAATGCACCGAAAAGCATCTTTGGTTCTTGAAGATGCAGTTAGAAATATTTACACTGTTGTTGCATTTTGTGCTGGTAATAAGGTAATGGAGCTCTACAGGCTGCAGTTAAATAAAATATTTAAGCAGAGCTTTCTTCATGGATTGGCTATTGGTTTTGCATTTGGCTTTTCACAGTTTCTACTTTTTGCTTGTAACGCCCTTCTACTCTGGTACACTGCAATATGTATAAAAAATAGTTATGTAGATGCACCTACTGCCCTCAAGGAGTACATTGTTTTCTCATTTGCTACATTTGCACTTGTGGAGCCTTTTGGATTGGCTCCTTACATACTCAAGCGACGAAAATCTCTCATTTCAGTGTTTGAAATTATAGATCGGGTGCCTAAAATTGACCCTGATGAAAGCTCAGCTTTGAAGCCACCCAATGTATATGGAAGCATTGAGTTGAAAAATGTTGATTTTTGTTATCCTACTCGGCCAGAAGTGCTGGTATTAAGCAATTTCAGTCTCAAAGTCAGTGGGGGTCAAACAATTGCTGTAGTGGGAGTTTCAGGGTCAGGAAAGAGCACTATAATATCTTTGATGGAGAGGTATTATGATCCAGTTGCTGGCCAAGTTTTATTGGATGGGAGGGATTTAAAATTATATAACCTTAAATGGCTTAGGAGCCACCTTGGTTTGGTACAGCAGGAACCAGTAATCTTCTCAACAACCATACGGGAAAACATCATATACGCCAGACATAATGCCAGTGAAGCTGAAATAAAAGAGGCCGCGAGAATAGCAAATGCTCATCATTTCATCAGTAGTCTGCCTCATGGTTATGACACTCATGTTGGAATGAGAGGTGTTGACCTAACTCCAGGACAGAAACAGAGAATTGCAATTGCTAGGGTAGTGTTGAAAAATGCACCTATCTTGTTGTTGGATGAAGCTAGCTCATCAATTGAATCAGAGTCTAGCCGAGTAGTGCAAGAGGCTCTAGACACTCTAATAATGGGAAACAAGACCACTATTTTAATAGCTCACAGGGCTGCCATGATGAGGCATGTGGACAATATAGTTGTACTTAATGGAGGACGGATAGTGGAAGAGGGGACTCATGATTCATTGGTGGCTAAGAATGGTCTGTATGTCCGATTAATGCAACCTCATTTTGGCAAGGGCTTGCGTCAGCATCGGCTTCTTTAGAGTTGGGATATATGATGTGAGTAATTGCAACTAATATTGGTTCACGAGAGTTGTTGCCTGCCCTGCTTGAGTTAAATCACTGATGATTGCCGTGCTTGCTGAAAATCTTAAATGTCAGGTGGTGATTCGTGTATGGCAAGAATGGGAATGAAGAAGCTTGGGCTAGTACTTCACATTGATAGGCATAGAAAGAGGATACTGTAGCAGGAACAGTGTAGATGTAGTGGTTGGTTTGAGGATATGGGTGTGAATGCTGAATTCTTTTGGAGACAAGCAGTTTAGACTTTAGACTAACACCATTGTCCCCATGGTATATTATTGATTTATTGTCCAATTACAGGAGGACGGTATCGACACAAGTTCTTCTGTTGTGACTCTTTTACTGGACTTCCTCTTCACTCAAAGCCTCTCAAGCGTGGATAATGAAATCATGAACCTATTCATTAATGTATTTTTGTGTTTTTTGTTTTTGTATTTGTGAAAATTGTTTAAAATACAGCTAAAGAGTTGTAACTTCTGTGTACATAATTAGGTTTAGTTTATAGGCATTTCATCCAAAGCTGAAGTTGCAAGAGTCACAAGTTTTTTTGTTGTTGTTGGTGGAGATGAGCTTCTTTTGTAATGGATGCAAATTTCCACGTGTATTTTGCCGAAAACGAACAGTTATATTGTTTTTTTTTTTTTAAATTTCAATTTTGTTTTCAACTTGTCTACTTATAACATATGAAAGTAATCTAAGAATCACACTGCATTATTATCCTAATAAGAAATGGAAGCTATATAAAGCATTAATGACGCACTTCACCTTGACATCTATTTTGTTATCAGATATTAATGTTTCTTTAGTGAGCTATATACATAACATATGCAATGTATTATCAACTAGAAGAAATTTTCTATTTGTATGATAGAGATGATATCATTCACTTGCAATTTTTTTTTACATATATTTCAATTTTGATATGTAGCTGAAATGGCTCATGTCTTGCATGGTTCTGTAACATATCAAATGTCTATGAGTCTAAAGGAGTCTGCTACCACTTTAAGCTGATTTCGTACTTTTTTCCATCTCCTTTCATTGGCTCCAACAGTCAATGTGTAGGACCTTCCTGTATCAAGTAAATGTTATAAGTTTGCATTAGAACATTTACATGAATATCGTCACACTGACATTTGAGATGGTAGATTACTTACCATTTCCTATGGCAAGTGTTGTAAAGGAGGCACTAGCGTAATTTCGCGATTCAATTACATATTCAAATGTATAGTAATGTTTTCCATCTATCGTCCGCTGCAGACAAACAGAATTAAAAAATGGTTGTTAATTCGCATTGGCCATCAAACTGTAAGATATTCTCTTGAAGAAATCAAATAATCAAATCGGGGAAGAAATGAAATAAGAAGAAACCTCCTGCATGTCATATATTCTTGGTATTTGGTTTGGTGCAGAATATCTATGTTTCACCAAAAAAGTTGCAACCTATATAAGGTACAAAATGGTTATCAAGTATAACTATAAGGTACAAAATGGTTATCAAGTATAACTATAAGCTAAACTCATTACATAAGGCAAGAATCTACATCATAATCACCTCTTCTATTGGACCCAAATCTCTTATATCTTTCTTCTCAGTTGGTATGAATCTCACCCTTACATTCTGTAACTGCAAATATCTGTCTTTGAATGCAGAATCATGCGCTCGGAAGTCAAATTCCTAAAGAGAAAACAGATTACTCAGACAAACTTGTAGAAAATTATGCTGTTTGTTAAGATCAGTATGATTCCTACTTTCCAATCCGAGGGATAAACGTAAGAATATCCGTCTGAAGAGTCGACAAAAGCTCTATATCTGTCCGGTATTTCTACAAAAACAAGACTAGTTGAATTTCAAAATTTCAGAAGATTGTGACTCTTCTAAGTATTACATATGAACAAAGATGTGAGAATAAATTCAATACCATCAGCAAAGAGTAACTTTGTTGGCTGCAAACTTGCTGCTAATGCTCCTATGCCCAACAGTAGAGGTCTTCTCAAGCTCTTACTTTCTGAACTTGAAGATGTTTCCATTGAACAAGAGACATTGTTAGAAGATGAAGTTGGAGTGTTCCGAAGCAACCGATTTGAATGTGGCAAGTTTAGTTTATGGGATAAGGAAGGTGAAGTCCATGTTAAAGAGCAGGAAGAAAGTACCATAGTGAAGAGTGGTTTAGAGGTTGAGTTTTGAGATGGAATGAAATATTGGATGGATAGTAAGTAGAATTTAGACCATGTGATATGGGTAGAAGCTCGTGGCCATGTGACAATGAAACATGTTTTTTTCTTCTTATTTTCTTATGTTATTTGACATTGGATTGGATAATGTTATATTATTCATTGTGTTTTATAGAGTTTAGTAAAACTGGGCCGGTTTAGCTTAGTATTGATGCTTGAATTTTTTTAAGGATTTTTAATGCACTTTATATGTTATTTAAATATCATGTGAAAAATATTTAAATGCCTTTAAATTTTAGAGATGTATCTTCAGACGAATCAAATTCTAAGTTAACGCTAAAATAATATAGAGATGTATCATCAAATTTATTCCGGAGATGCATTTCTGACACGTGAAGATTATATTGCGCGATGATCCTTCATCTTCCTCATTTCTAAATATTCTCAAAAGTCTCTTCAAACACTCTCAATATTTTTTCCATCACCAAGTCTAAAATCAAACAACCAAACTTAAAGGATCATCAATCAGCATCAGAAACATCATCCAACACTAAATCAAAATGAAACATTGTAAGTTTTTTGAGTTTTTGTGTAAACAAGTAGAAAATAATGATTTAGGTATCAAATGAGTAGGAAATCCAAGAATGTTAGTTTATACATGGTGTAAAACACACATGTTTGTTGAAAATCACAATCAGACAATTTATTTTGAGGTTTACATTTCTGCAATGCCTCAATTGATGAACTGAAGAGTTGCAGAAAATTTCGGAGATTTATCTCCGAAATTTTTCAACATTTAGTTTTATATTACCCGGAGATGCATCTCTAAAAATTTTCAACGCTTGGTTTCATATTACTCGGAGATGCATCTCCATAAAATAACAGTCTATTTTTTGTTTTTTGTTTTTTGTTTGTAATGTTGCTTGCTTCTACTAATTGTCTGACTTACTTTAACTTACAAGCATTATGGATTATAGAGACAATAGGTTGAGGCATGGGAGGATTTGATAACAAGCATCAGTGCGATGGAAGAAGACTCAAGTTTCAAAGGCTCATGTTCACTATGACCATGCAGAGCCATCTACTTCTGGGGCTCATGTTTGTTCTCATACTTTTCCATCTTTTTCTTCTTCTTGTAGGAGACAAGTTTCACCTACCGACGCATCACTCCCTCCATCCTCTCACAGGCGCCAGGTTTCACCTATTCAGGCGCTAGGGTACCCGAGTCACTGGTGGTACCAGAGACACCAGTACCACCTTCGACAAATGATGCTGCTGAGCCAGTGTCACTTCTACTATTGTTACTACTGATGCTGCTGAGGTAGTGCCACCTCTTGATGGTGAGACTGCTGAGGATGTCGACTCAGAGGTATCTGGAGGAGGCCCTGTAGAGTTGCCACTACTGGCTCTGTACCCATACCATACTTTCAGACATATATGGGACGTAGAGGTAGCATTAGTTGGATTCATTATTTTAATTTACATTTATTTTAATTTACAAGTTTCTAAAATTAATTTATTTTTCTTAAGGAATGTGATCCGCCAGAGATTATTAACCACAGGCGGAAGATTACTAGCTTGCCTAAATCGAATGAAGAGTAGTTTAAGACAACTTTATCCCTATCTGGGATGAAGGACTTGTGCATGACCAGTTATATTAAGGTCAACCACAGGATGCTTAATGCATTCGTGGAGAGATGAAACACCGACACTTCCTCATTTCATCTCCTGCTTGTGAGATGTCTATCACAATTGACAATGTGCTATGTTTGCTACATCTTCCAATCAGGGGGAAACTTCAAGATCATGGGATAATTAGCAAAGATGGGACACTCAAGATGACGGTAGACTATCTAGGAGTTGACCTAGAGGCTGCGATGGCAGAGATGGATAGAACCTGAGGGCTTATGCTAGGTTTAAGTTCCTGAAAAAGGTATACAAAGATGAGATTGTTAGAGCACATCAGGCTACAAGGGATGACAAACAGGTGGGGCTCCATAGAGCATATGCTATTAGAGCATACCTGTTATATTTGGTTGGTACTGCAATTTTTGTGGACAAGAGTGCCACTTATATAGATGTCACCTACCTACGGTACTTTGAGAAATTCGAGCGGATCCATGAGTATAATTAGGAGGCTGCTTGTTTGGTCTTCTAGTACTCGAAGCTATCAGAGGGCTGTAGGTGGAAGACAAAACATGTCGCCGAAAATATCACACTACTAACAGTAATATTTATATGTCTTTTACTATTTTTGTAACATTTTCATTTCATCTTTGCAATGCCATTATTGATGATTCGTGTGTTCCAAACTTTTTAGGATTTGATCCTCCATCACTTCCCGCGCATCTCTGGCTGGCCGAGTGTACTGACTTATATTGAGGATATGCCACGTGCTACTTCATTTGCCCCGTTCAGAGGAAACCAGGTGACACAATCATTTAGAGCGTATCTCAACCGCTTGATTACTGAGGACATGCATTTCAACAGCTATGTGAATCACCGTGAGATGCAGCCATTTAACGAGATAATGCTATACTCAGAATGGTTGGTCTGTGAATCACGTCTCACTCCTCCTCATCATCCTGAGCGCATCATGCGGCAGTTCGCTACACTCAACCCATTTTCAGACACACTATTGTCTCTGCTCCTCCTGCTTTGACACATACACTGAAGGAGGCACAAAATACCATAGCTGAGAGCGACTAGAGCTACGTCGACGGGTACATTAGGTGGTTCTTCAAGGTGTCATATCTGTATATGGTGCAGACTGTTCTAGGAGATCCACTAAGGCCAGTCCATCAGGAGATACTAGAGGAGAAACATGCATAATTAGATCATGCTGAAGATGTCTTGTCTAGATGTCATCATATAATGGAGATTGCGCAGGAAGATGTTTACAGAAGTATCTTCTCTGATGGGTCTGATATGAGGCAAGTCTTAGATGCCATCATGACAGAGGTATGTTAGGCATCGATGTACTGGAGACAGGACCGGAGGGCGGAGGGGAATGATGGCTGAGGAGGCCGAGGAGATGTAGTCCGACATACACAGTAGTGCAATAGTATATAGTAATTGTAATTTGGATTCATTATGGATTGCATTGTATTTTCACCACATACTACTTTATCATTATTTTCGACTTTGTTTATATATGACATTTTTGGACCATCAAGATTTATAAACGTTATTTTTTGCATCCAGATCGTATGATTTAAATCTTGTCACACAACATGGTACATAATGCTTATAAATGTTCATCTGAATACGCATAAACAAAACATAACATATACTATTCTGTTTTGATAGGTTACAGAGATTTATCTCTGTAAAATAAACAGAGGTACATCTCTGGTACAATAAACTTATAGAGTGAAGATTGAGTGTGATGCATGGTATATATTTTAAATTGTTACGTAAATTTTGTTTCATTTAACATTTCAAGGTGCGCCCGGAGATGCATCTCTGAAAGGTGGTGGTGGTGGGGGGGGGGGGGGGGCATTTAAATATTTTCACATGATCCCTAAGTAATATATAGGGTGCATTAAAAATATTTCCTTTTTCTTTCTTCCATTGGGCCAGTATTGCAAAGAAAGGTCCTCTAAAGTTCAAGGGAATTTCTTTTCTCACCATTAGGATGTGGCTCACACCATTGAAAATCCGAAATTAATCTCAGGTGCGTCCAGAGATGCATCTCCAGATGCACCTTAAATCACTACATCCATCGTAAATCAAATAGACACTCTATTTTTGTCAAAAATTAGTTTGAGTTGTATCTCCGTAAATTTCTGGGGTAAATGTCGGAGATGCATATCTGAAAATACTCCTAAACCTATTTACTACACGTATTTCATTGAGCTTGTTTATTTAGCCATTTAGTGACATTTTTAGAGATGCATATCTGAAAATGTCAAAACGGAAAATTGAATATATCACCACCTTGCATTATCATCTCCCCCACACTCCAAACCACCTCCATAACCTAAAACCCTAAAAAATTTCATTATGAATCAACATTTCAACTCCAAATCTTCATTCTTGCATTTTATCACATCAAAGGGAGCAAAACAACCTGCAATTTAAGATAAAGTTCACCCATTTCATCCCATATTGCTCGGATGTGCATTTTCGAATTTACCTTTTCATGTTTTAGATTTGCATCTCTGAATTTTCATGCTACTGTGAGCTTTTTAAACTGTTTTTCTGTTCTAGTTCGTATAAGATATGGTGCACTCGGATATGTTTCCCAAAGTTGGTGTAAGTAATGATATAAAATCGAATGAAGTGAAGGATGATGCTAAATCGGATGAGGTGAAAGATGATGTTAAATCAGGTGCTAAACTAGTTGTTGTCGAGATATATGTTGGTCAACATTTTAGAAATGAACAACTATTTACTAGTTGTGAACATATGCTTCAATGGGCCAACATGGAGGCCAGAAATTGGGTTTTGAAATTTTAATCGGAAGGCATGACAATGGTTTAAGTAGAAGGTAATCATTTGAATCCATGAGATGTGTGAGAAGTGGCACGTGCATTCCACCGATTCGGAAGTTGAAACGTGATGACACCAGGTCGAGAAAATGTGAGTGTCCATTTAAATATCACATATATTGTAAAGTGAATGATACATGAAAATTTAATGTGGTTTCGTGTATACATAATCATGCCTTGTAAACTGAGCTAGCCGGTCATTCATCGTATGTCACCTTAAACTAGAGGAGAAGGAAATTGTTTCGAACATGTCTTTAATTAGCGTGGCGCCAAAAAAACATACTTGAAAATTTGAAACGAAAAAGACCTGAAAGTGTTTCAAATATAAAACAGGTATACAATGCACGTTATCGAAACAACATGGCAATAAGAGGTCCAAGGTCCATAATGTAACAACTTTTGAATATTTTGGGTCATAACCACTATGTTTCTAGGTATAGAGTTTGTGAGGATAAAGTCACTGTTCGTGATATATTTTGGACTCATTTC